AGATCTTAAATTGAGAAAAATCTGACGACATCGATTGAGCAGGGTCTCTATGAAGTCGGTCGTGGTTTATAGGGACTGGCTCTTAAGTTTTACATGAGAGTCGACAACATAAACAGGACCTACCCTTTTTGCAACAGACATATCACCATTCCATATTGATTTACACGAGATGCAAATACTTTGCTTCATTAATTCTAATAAAAATGAATTGTGAATTATCTGATAATAATCCTTTGTATCTTCATCAATATCTGTATTTTGTTGTTGTTGAAGAAAATTTGATAATTTTTGGCATGATGGACCGGCAAGTGAACGATTTTTGTACGTAAAATTTTCATTACCAGTTGGTCGATCTATGTCAGAAATAAGATCATTTTGTAGTTTACGTGTTTTTCTTGTAACACTGTTAACGATTTTTCGCGATGTGGAAATGCTTTGAACCAGGTACAGCTTTCGTTCCTTTTACAATTTCGAATGACCTGGCATTTCAGACAGTATTAGCGTAGAATAATTAAAAAATCTAGAAAACAAGAAGTGATAATGCTTTGTTTGCTGAGAGAACATGAGTTACGCTAATTATAAATCGGTTGTAGCGTCTTACTCATCTTTCCCCAAAAACTTTGAGGTTTTTTTATTCATTCAAAGAACGATGTGAATCATCGTGTCATTGCTGTGGCATAAAAATAAGTGAGTCATCCGAAAAAGAGGAGAACAAAACTATTTCAGCATGACAGATGGCGATAGCTTACTGCATCTGTTACGCGCTTTAAAAAAGTGCAAGGAAATATATTTGAAATATGGCATTTTAATATGACTTTTTTGAATTAAAATGAAAAAAAACCATTTCTAAAACTTCTTTCGAATTTTTCTCAGAATATAGTTTCCAATCAGAAAAATTGGAACTCCTCCCTCATTTTTCGAGCTATTATCAATATTTTTTTTTTGTTTTAAAGGCCTCAACGAGATTAAACTTTTGCCCGAACGAATTTTTTAAAGTTGATTCCTGGGCTGAGAAAAGTGGGGTTTACTGTCGTTGGACCACCATTTTTTATGCTGATTTTAAGATCCTTGTACTAAAGTCCTCATAAAAAATGAAGAATATGGAATATAAAAATTCTGTTGGGGCAAAAGTTGTGTCTTGACATGGACTTTAATTTGAAACTAGCACGAGCTCTCTATCTCTTGTTATGACGAACTTATATCGATTCTCGTGAAGGCCAAAAAGACCCATGAATCAGCTGGAAATCCGGTCTAGTATGACCAATCGAGCTGAAATTTTTACCAGAAGCGTATCTCTCCAAGATCACTTATCCCTGAAAATTTGAGCATGAAAGGACCGTTCAAAGTGGAAAATCGTTTCTGAGGGAGGGGGGGGGGGGGCCGTAAACACTATCCCTAGCCAACTNTCGTGGCGGGCGGGCGGGGGGGGGGCCTTAAATACTATCCCTAGTCAACTTTCCCTTGAAGGATCCCGTGGGAGTCTCGAGGAAGTTCCTGAAAATCCCATGCGAGTTCCGAGAAAGTCCCGAACTCCCGCGAAAATCCCCAAAAAAATTTGATTTCCCACGGGACTCACTGCTGGATTTTTATGATCTTCCGCGGGCGTCTGTTACGTGATTCCCGGGGGATTTTTTCAGGGAAAGTGAACTAGGGATTGAATATCGTAGGATTCGATTGGTGAAATCCAAACGAATCGCATAGTCAGAAATCATCGAAAATTAAGGAATATCGATCGATGGTTTGTAACAGTGGGATCCGATCGCGTGCCGACCGTCAGATTTTGTCAGTTTGACTCAGGAATCCGAACGAGTGAGTTCGATCTGAGATTGAGAACCTATGGTCCAGTCAAATGTTTACAATAGTTTTGCTAAGTTGTGATTACTCCATCTGAAATTGTTATTAGATTCCATCAAATCAAAAAAGAAAACAAGACTTTCAGAATTAGTGAAAACTAATGAGTTTTAGGGCAAAGTCGAATGATTTTCAACCAGTCCATTAGTTATTTTTAATACTCAAAGAAGCCAAATAATAGCATCGAACAGTGCATTCAAAGTTAATCTTGGTTGATATGAACAAATTACGTGAACGTGTGGATTGCCACTCAGTAATGTGCATGGCCGTCACGCAGACGAAAGGGGGCGTTGAGACGGACACGCCATCGAAAAAGCTTTGGAAGACGGTGATGGTGCGGGTCCTACACGTTCGACTCCCTTCTAACATAGCTGCTGGGTGGTTGTTACTTGACCATATTAGCTGTTAAAATTTCTTTAAGTCGAAACTCGAAAAGTCAAGTTCATTTTAATGCATTCCGACAACATTTTTGTTTTCTTTGTATTCAAACAAAAATATTCAAACAAAATGACATCGACTTGATATGTGTTCTTTAAGAAAAAGTAAAATATCGCTTTAAAAATCTACTGCTAAAGTCTTTTAATTGTTGAAACATCTTAGTTTTATAAATACGCACTATAGATTATGCCTTTTATATATTTGTCTTTTTTTCTTGTACCACTCTTTTTGTCATGCATACTAGATATATTGTTCGCTTCGACTTTTTGTTTCTTTAACATAGTGTATAATTCTACCGTATAATGAATAATACGTTTATTTTCATTTTATGTTTTAAATATAAGATAATGTTCCATCAAGCCATGAGTTGCCTAATTCGAGTTTGAATATAAATGGAACCCTGATTGTATACAACTACTTCGAAAATAAATGAAAAATACGGCATTCCTGTTGAAATAGTAAAAAAAATTTATATAAATTATAAATTATAAATTATAATTTATTAATGAAAAGCCACGCCCATGCCGAAGTAGAAAAAAACAAATGATCTAAATTATTGTGAATTATAATGACGAATCTAGTGCAGACTATTCTCATATGAGATGCTACAAGCATCTCCCGTGTTGCTGAAAACATAATGTGTGCATCTACAAACATCATCTGCACTACTACAAGGGTCATCTCTGATGCTAGAAGTATCGTCCAGGAAGCTGCTAGCATCACTTGTGCTGCTAAAAGTGTCACCGCTGATGCTAGAAGTATTATCTGAGATGTTACATGCATCACGTGTGACCTTACCAGCATTACTTGCGACGCTAAAAGCGCCACCTAGGATGCTTAAGTCACCGTTTACGGTACCTCCGCTAGCTTATTCCTAAAGCCCTCCAAAGCATACACTGAGTACCTGTATGAGGATTGAAAATAATGCTAACTTTATGATAACACACTGGCATAAACTTCCTCTGATTGCAATAATGCTAGTGCCAATTCTGGTGAGATACATATTGTACTCAACTGCCCCAAATGACTTTTCATCGTGTAACTGACCTTTTATTTCAGTGTTTCGGCGTGAGGGAGCGAAGCGCTTCTCGAAGAACTGTGACCCATGCTCGTCTCTGTGTACACAATAATAAAAATGTGCCATGTTTATGCCACGCTAGCTACATCTTTTCCCGAGCTATTTGGTCATGCAATCTGTTCGCTAACAGATGCTATCGTGCCATTATCATTCAAGTGTATCCGACAGATTCTATAGCATTTTAGGTCATGGCTGAAGCATCCCAGGTAGTACCTGTGTCATTCCAGGTAATATCTGTAGCATTTCATGCAATTTCTGTAGCATCACAGATAACACTTCTAGCATTCCAGGTAATATCTGTAGTATTCGAAGTAAGACCTCTACCATCTCAGGGGATAGTTGTAGTATTTCAGGAAGTCTTTAAATTTGAAACTTGAAAGTTAAAATTTGAAAATCTCAGATAAGTTCATAATTTATAACTACTCACAATTTTTCTTTTGTTTTTTTGATATTTTAACATGGAAAGCGTTTTTTGGCGATTTTTCAATTTATGTTCGAACTCGAATTCGACATCTACTCCATCAAATATAGGTATAACAGATGATGTTCTTTATACTCAATTGATCTCTTTGTAATAGTTAGATGTTCTTATGGCTTTGTTACTTTCTTTAGTTTTTATCTATTCGTATAATTGATTTTTCTTGAATGAAGGTATCGTTTTTATAATTAATCACAAGAAAGATGGAAGTATGTAACGAAAACTTATCTCAAAATTTATTCTTTCGAACCCAGTATAACTTATCGATTGTTCTGAAATCATTATGGCTATCAGGAAACGTTTGAGCATAGTGATGCCATTTGTAAATTTATGGAACACTTATCAATAATTTCCGCCGCCATTACTCAAACTATTCAGTGTTTTCCCTTTCTCAATGTGATGATTCATGAAAAGAATAGTATATTGGGTTATAACTATCATCAATTGAAACATATCGCCTAGACTGAACCGATAGGGTCTAGAAACGAAAATTCGCCTGTGTCCGTTTGTCTGTCACACGCATATCACGTGATTGATATGGTACACAAAGGACCACTCATTTAAGTTGTGGTACAAACTACGGCATATTGAGATGTGGTATAAAGGATGGCAATGTACAGATGTAAAACGGATTTGTTGCAATTATAAATCTTTTGATTCATTGACAAAAATGCAAATCTTATGTTAGAAACGGTCACAATAGTTTCTCATAGGAAAAATTTCTGAGAATTCATCAGTAGAACGGCTAGCTGCAAGCTACTTCTATCATTATTATTGTTCTATTGAGCCATCGTTTGACTTAACTACCATTGTTTTTCTATACAATTCTATATAAATATGTAATCCGTCAGTCTAGGGCGAAGTGAATTGATCCTCGATGAGCGTTACCTGATAGAATTCAGAAGAAATGTATTAAAAAGAAAACTAAGCTAATCCAATAAACATACTCTGAATTACCAAAAGCATCTTGATATGAATCAGATGAATGTTTAATTGACGGAACTATGACAATATCATCATCAAAAAAGATACTTGGCTCAGCTGTTTTTTTTTTCAATGTTTTCATGAACTCTGAGAACAGAAAAAAAGAGTTTTGCTATTTATTAATAAACATTATTTTACTTCTTATAAAATTGTTCATTTTCATAATCATGCATAGCAGCTTGTTGATTTTTATAAAATATTAACTCATATTCCGTTTGTTTATTTATTCGTTTAGCTGTTTCTAATTGTTGTTCAAGTTCCATACAAGTTAGTCTCATTTGATTATAATCTATTTGTAATTGACCAACATTATTTTTAATAGCTTCAAATTCATCTCGAAGTATCTTCAAAATATAGAATATATAAATATCATTACAACAGAACAAATAAATGTACTTGATTGGTTTGTAGAAGTCACTTATTTGAAATTCTGCTGTCTCTAACTTTTTATGTACTTCATTATTTTCATTTTTATATTATTGAGCTCTGCAAAATTCAAAATACAAATCAAATTATATTATTATTTATTTCTTACTTTATTTCTTCTCTAATGAACTTTTCATTTACATCAGTTAGTGCATGATTCAATCGAACAACTTCTCGAGCAAGCTAAGTTTTAAAAAAAGATGAAAAGAAAACAACTAATAATATATTAATTAGATTTTGTTTACTATTACTTACTTCACCTTTTTCTCGTAAATGTCTAACCACTTCTTCATTCGTTTCGCTTAATTTGTTATTAATAATGACTAATTCTGAACTAAAATAAATAGAAAAGAAAGAATTAATTTTATGTTTTAAAAAAATAATTTCACCTTCCTTCGGCTGGTTTTTTTCATATCAATATTAGCTAAACGTAAATGATAAACATCTTTTTCAAGTTTAACACATTGAACTTGTAGAATAGTATTATTTTTCAAAATGCCATTATCTGTTTAAAAAGAAATCAGAAAAAAAGTTTTGATTATAGAAAAAAATGCATACAGTGTTCTATAATGCTCTCATATACATTTCATTGATGATGATGTTATTTTAGTTGGAAAAAAAATATTTGGTTCCAATTTGAATTAATCATAGCCATTTTTTAATCGAAAAATGGAAAAATAAAGTCGATCGTTTTCTATTCATGCATGTATGCATGAACAACATAAGAGAAAAAGGCCAGAATACAACAATAACCAGACATCTTCATGGAGTCGGGCCACCCTGATGTCTTGTCTTCAAAGCAGAGTAAAAAAAATGCTCTGAGACGGTCTCTGATAAGAAGCGAGTTGGGTCACACGCAGTTGATAGATAAAAACACGACAAAGAAAGAGCAAATGAAATTATAGTTTTGATAACATTTTCCCATATCGTTCTCTAATTCGACAGAGGTCATCATATATTTTAAAGTCGTGTTCTTTAGAACTGAGTTTCTTAAATATCGATCTCATTGAATTTATTTGTAACTTTCTTCATGTCAATACTTAGAATCGATCATATATCTTATCTTTGATAAAATAATAATTATAAGAACTTGATTGAATATTACAAGTAATAACATAATCAATATATGTTCAGTATTTTCATCAATAACAAATGTTTCTATACTTGCTGTATTTTCATATTCTTATCTATATGTAACTGTTATTGTTTATAAAATATGTATATCAGCTTCAAACATCATTTCATGATGTAAACGATGATGATGAGCTTTTGAACATGATGAACTTGGTAATGGTAACGGTAACTTAAAACTCCATTCATTGTCATTATCATCTTCAATATCAAATAAAGTTTGATTATTTGATATAATTGTTCAATAAGTTGAAGACATTTATGAACAAATTGACAAAGATAATCACGTAATTTTTGACATGAAAAACATCGACGAACAGGTGCAAATATATGAATATATTTTGTTGGAATATCTATATCGTTCTCTTGTTTTGTTAAAATACGTGAAACTTGTAGAGGATGTGTTATATAAATAATTTGCCGACATTGAGGAATATCAATTCGAGCTCGACCATATAGAGATGTCTATGGCCATGTTGGAGTTGAGTCATTATTAGAAATAGTTGGAAGAGAAATATTTGGAGACCAACGAACATGTGTAGCAGTATCTGTTGATTGCTACGAGAATTGTCATAGCATCTTTTCAAACATGAGATAATAGGATAACAAAAAACAGAAGAAATTGAATTTACCTTGTGTATGATTGTCTTGTTGAAATACATACTCAGTAACACATGGTGCGAGAAAAATTTCTATACCATCCGAAAATTTGACGTCGACTGCATCATTTGTATACATAATGAATTGTTTAGCCATATTTAGATCTTTCTCCATTGTTGAAATAATAGCTGTCAAAAGATACAAAATAAAGATTCGGTCATTACAATGGATAGAATCGATGGTAACAGAATCATTGGTAGAGTTGAAAACCTGCAAAAGTGAACTGAACATATGAACCAAAATCAATAGAATCACTTATAAGAGTTATGAGCCAATCAAATTTAAGACCCATGTTCTATAACACTTCAAACAATGCTTTTCGTTTTTTTTCAACTTGATTAAATCATAAGAAGACTGCTATATAATGTTGAGGTACAATATTATTTCACAAGTTATTATCATTTGTTCGCATTTTTTGCATGTTAATCTTGATCGACTTTTACCGAAATACTCAAGAAATATTGTCATGAGCAACGGAGTAAACAATAGTTTATCAGTGATTTAAGGAAGCAGACATTGTATTTCAAAAATAATCAAACCAAATGAATTCAAACCGTAATTGAATGAGTTATGTTGAGTTAAAGTGATAAAAAGTTTTAGAATATAGGATATTGAATTTATAGGATAGCTTTTAAAAGATCAAACAACTGATTGGATCGAGTAATATTTAGTAAGATCTATGGATCCATTTGAAAATGTTTCAGAACCTATGCAGTTAGTTTAAATTGAGATGATATCTTCTTGCAATGAGTTCAAATGAATTGATCTCCTTGTCCGTTTGTATTGTCCAACTTTCAATTTCAGTATTCATGCTGAATAACTCATTGAGAGCTCGTGGAACAAATACATTTGCATAGCAGTTATCCACTTATGAACTTCATCAATATCATGAAGAATTTAGTATAAATCGCAAAACGAAAAAATATAATTTCCATAGATCAAACAAAGATCAATTGAAGAATCAACATGATTTCACGAAGACTTCGTGTCATAGCATCCTTTCTATAATGTATAAAATGATCAGTAGAAGTGAAGTTATAATTTTTGCTTCGTTTTCTTAATGACTATAAAATAAAACGAATTGATTTTAAGTGAAATCACTATAGTATATGCACAGTTGACCCGAGACAGCTGACATTTGGGGAGAGGGACAGGTGTCGTGACACTTTTTGGAAGGATATAAACATTATTCTGTGGAACTCACATATACTATCGAAGAAAACAGAGAGTGTAAGTTTAGTCGAGGTTTTTGCGACTTTCCCGAGGTCCTAGCAACCGAAGGTCAAAATCAGAGATCAATAAATATGTTTTCCGTGCACTGTAAACAAATCCAAAGAATAATAAACGTTTAAAACGGTTCATACAAGCGCAACGTATAAAAAATCTTTTTCTGCCGTTCATGAGAGGATCATAAACCTTTCGAAAAACCCTCTCAAAAAAGAATATTAAATAATTCACGAACTTCAAAAACCCTTCTTAAAAGGTTGATGAAAGGGTTTACTATACACTGTAAAAAATGAGTGGAGAATAATAAACGCTGGCTATCCGTGTATTACCATTAGATAAACCATTTTTTAGGTTTATGACAGTGATCTACCGTTTCATAAACCATTTATTTTCATCAACCTTGGCAAGGATTTGTTATACGTTGCAAATTCATAGACCCTTCTACTGCTTTTATTCTTCATAAACCCTTTTATAGTATATGAATGGGATAAACTCCCAGGCCAAGGGTTTACTGTTCTACGGTTTTATGTAAAACGCGCAATGATAAATCTTTCGCTCGAGGGTTTATTCCATTCATATACTAAAAAGAGGTTTATGAAGAATAAAAGCAGTAGAAGGGTTTATGAATTTGCAACGTATAACAAACCCTTGTCAAGGTTGGTGAAGAAAAATGGTTTATAAAACGGTAGATTACGCCCATAAACCTAAAAAATGGTTTATCTAATGGTAATAAACGAATAGCAAGCGTTTATTATTCTCACTCATTTTTTACAGTGTACGTTGCACTTTCATAAACCCGTCGTAAGGATTCATGAGCATCATAAACCTCTTCAAATACTTCTCGAAACCCTTTCTGAAAACGTAGATGAAAACACAATACCCGAATATCTCATTGTGAAAGAATATTTGGAAGCGTTTATGGCCACAATCAATCGTCAAAAAAGGTTTATGAAAAAGTATACGAAGTGGATTATTGACTTCATCAATTGCTTTAAAGGTTTATGAGAAGATATATGAGGGAGAGTATCGACCTCGTCAAGAGCCTGAAGGATTTATGAAAAGGTATAGAGAGCTTTTCAATAGCAGCACCAATCGCATCGTAGGGTTGGTGAAAGACTGAATAGAGGGGTTCATCGCCAACGCCAACGATCTCACATACTTATGAAAGATATAAGTGAGAATTATTAATAATTTTTCATCGTTATTCGAAGAGCATGGCCGTTATATGTAAGTCTTCATAGCTACTAGCTACTGAGTTTTCGGTTTACGAAATGCTGAACGAAACTGTTATGGTGTGGGATAGGTCAGTGTGGTTGGGTGGTATGGGTGCGGGCGCTGTCATTGGATATCGTTTCTTTCGCACCCACACCCATTAACAATATTGTTTTACTATTTTCAATAATCCAAAATGAACTCGACTTGGAAAAAGAAAATCACAGGTTCAAGACAAAAATATACTGATTGTATCAAAGTCAATGAAAACATTTCGTATGTTATCATCTATTGTAGACCGAGTAACAACAACAACAACAACAACAGAGACATGTCATCGATCAGTCTGTACCATCATTGATAAAAAATGAGAAACAAAATACATCTATAGATGATCGATTCATCGTCCAATTACGACAACCCATTAATGACTACATGCAACATACAACATGACCATTGCAAATCAAATACGTCCTTGATTTTACTGATCATTGAAGATTTTATTGACGTGAAATAAATAAACAAAAGTATTCTGTTGTGTTTTTGAATGATATTGTTAAAAGAAAAATGATTGACTATAGATTTCTTTTTGAAAACACATAACTATAAACATATACACGAATGATAGATACTATACAATCACGTTGAGCATTGAGTTTAATAAACATAGAAAGCTTCTTCTGTTTCATCACTAATATTCTATCATTTTAGATACAAAAAAATTCTTTTGTCATTTATAAACGACGCAAAAATATAACCATTCAAACTCAATAGTCAGTAAAAATTCGAATAATGTGGAAGAATTCGATGATATTTTTGATATAATTGATGATAATAATGATGCACTTCAATATACAACTGAAGAATTAAATCGATATTTCAAATCGGGTCATTTGAATTCAATCATAGGTGCAGATGAAACGACCGAAGATGACAGTCTTGATGATACTAATCTGGTTGAAGTAATACTATTTGTACAAAGAATAAATAAAACAAAAAACTATTTTCTATTGCTTTATTGAGATCATCAAAGCAGAAAAAGAAGACGAAACTATTCTACCACAAAAATTAAGCCAATGAGCCTTATTCACTAATGCCTGTCAGAGGTCTCAATGGGCCGGGTTGGGCCAATAAAAACCAGCCCATGGGCTATCAACCTCGGCCCAGCCCAGCCCATGTTTTTTTCTAAAAAAACCGGCCCGCCCATGGGTGCCCATGCGCCATTCATCTNTTGATACTTTTCAGACAGACATGTTGACTTGCCATGCTAACTAAAGTAATTAAGATGCTAAGCACTTTATCGTATGGCGTCAGGAGGTTTTTTTCTTTAATTAATTCTAGCTAGGCGTACATATGTCAAGTTGTCATTTTGTGTCAAACTCAACTCAAAAACTGAAAATCTGAAATTTTTCATTGAAACGTTAGGTGAAAGTATCAAACTGGTACTGATACCAGTTTTTTCCAATCTTCCAAAAAATTTTCTGCTCGTCACATATAGCGTGCAAAAACAACAAACTAAAATAAATTAGCTGTGATATAACTA